ATATACATATACATATATATATACATACATATATATGTGTATATATATGTATATATATATATTTATATATATATACATATATATATACATATACATATATATATATACATACATATATATATACATACATATATATATATATGTATATATATATATATGTACATCATTTTGGACACACTTGCCTCATGGTTTCCCTCCGGTCTTGTTTACTCGTCCGGTTCTTCGCCGGTGTCCATCCTGCCGAGCTGGACCCGAGACAGAGGAAGTGTCAGCCTCTTAGCGCTCATTTACAAAGTGTGATGGCTGAATGTGGAGAGAGAGATAAGAGGCAAACATCGCTGGGGTCACATTGATTCCGGTCGACTGGGTTTAAAGAGAAACAGCCTCTGCACCAGCTGCCGAGACAACACTGATGTCCTGCGCCTCTAGAACCTTCTTCTTCTTCTTCTTCTTCTTCTTCTTTCTAGACTTATTACAAGACACGTTTTGTTTTATCTTTCTTTCTTTTCTTTCAAATCTCAGTCACAGGTCTGACAAGTGACAGAGGGGCTTTATCAGAGGGAGGCGTTCCAGTTTGTTTTCAAGGGCCACTTGGAGACTACTAATCTCTACAGAGAGCACCTCAACAAAACCCTACTCCCTACTTATGTCCCTTTTTGTGCACTTTTAGGGGGGTGGGGGGGCACTTATCCTCCTTGATTTCTTACCCCTGCCGTCGTATTGAGCAGATCCATCCTCTCTCACTTCAATTCACAATCTGTATCTGCGCAAGGGCTTTAGTCGTGTCCCTTTCAATCGCGAGTCACTTTGGGATAAAAGCAGCCAAACGACCGAAGGTAAAATGAAACGTCGCGGCTCATTGATTACTCCCCGTGTCCCTGCCCCTGCTCTGGAGATATTAATGTCTGTTCTCCACGGTCTGATTGATTTCTTCGGCGTGAGCTGCAGCCTCCTGACGGCAGCTTTTATCAGGCCGTCCGCGGCCTTTATGATTATGTCAGCTAATGGCCCCACGGTGTACGCCGCTGCTGTTAGCACAGGATACAGCTGACGTGGATGCATTTGCTCTTCTCTCCATTACCAGTTGGCGTGCCATCCAGTCAGCGGCTGTTAAAACTGCCACATGCTTTTAAGTGGGACATTAACGGCTTTACTGGACCTGCCGAAAAAAAGAATAAAAAAAAAAAAAAAAAAATTTTTTTTTCTCTGGTTTGTTACGATCTATTGCTTTAAAAAACAAACCAATCTGATGTTCAATAGAAACCGATCAAAGGTTGTGGAGCAGGTTTTATCGTGTGTTGTTTGTCAAATAATATAATCTGTAAACTGGCAGGTTTATTAGAAAACAACCCTTTTTGTTATTTTTGCTAAGAAATCAGAGGCAAATGGATTCTAATTTCAATGCCTTTTTTTAATGCGTGTCATAATAGGGGGGGGAAGAAATTGTTAAATTGTCATTTTATTTGAATGAGATTAGCTCGTCGTTTAAATGGAGTTCGGTGACGTTTGGAAGCAAAAGCAGTGAATCTGACGACGTGGGAGGGAGCGTTGGGGTGTGTAGCAGTCATAGTAGTGTATATATATACATATACATATATATTTATATATGTATATGTATATATATATATATACATATACATATATATTTATACATGTATATGTATATATATGCATATATATACATATATGTATATATGTATATATATACATATATACATATATATG